AGATCCAATAAAATATAAAAAATTCACGAGAGTAGTCATTTAAGTATGCACCTATTTTCATGGGGAAAGTATCCAACTTTATAAATGCCATTTAAATACGTAAGAAATTTTGAGAACACGTTGGCTGGTAACTGCTCAATCACAAGGCCAATGATATTTATATATCCTGTATATTATTTTAATTTGGCATCAACCTCTGTATACAGTGACATTGAACCCAGAGTTGTAGACACAGTAGAAATACTTTCAACACTAAGAGGAAGTTAAAAATTAGCCCTCCTAAACTATATGGGATAGAAAAATACACGTTTCTTTTCAGTATCTATTTAAGGCATTTTCATATTGAACTACTAGTTCTACTGCAGTGACAAGTGTGAACAGTGCCACTTTTTCTTAAAAGTAATTGAATTTTATTCTGTTGTTGCCAAGAAGTAAATTCTCATAGAGATTTCAAATAAAAAAACAAATATTCAATCAGACCTCTGTCAATTGAAATATTACAGTCTAGTGTTTGTATTTAAGTCAGCTTCATTGAAGTCATTAGCAAGTCAGTCATTGTCCTCAGCAGAAACAAGTTAGGTTCATGATGCCAAAATGAAGACTATTCCTGGTGTCTTCCCTGCTTGAATTCAGGGAGCATTACCAGAAGCTTAATTTCTAAACAGTTTTCAGATTTTCATACTAGATTTCACACATGCTAAGTTGTAACACATCTCATTCTTTCTCAAGTATTTCAGTTGGCTTTAAAAATGCCTTTCAAGTGAGTTAGAATTAAAGATGGACTTCATTTTTTGTAATAGTTGGTATTATCATGTATAGTTCCTGAATATAAAATGAGATGATTAATAGTAACATATTTATACATAAGAACCACATCAATTATATCTGGAAAAAAAGTCCAATGCTTTTCTGATGGTATAGACATCTTTAGTAGGTAGTTCATTAACTAGAAATTCCCATATAGAGCAGAGCACATTAAAACTTATATCTTTCCCAATGGAAAAGTACTCCCAATGGAAAACTTAGTAGCAAAAAAATTTCAAAAAGGGAAATGAAATACTAACGGTGTTCAGACAAGAGATCATGTCTGTATCTTATACTATGAATAACTACCATGAAGACAACAATATTCAATGTATTAATTATTGTAACTGTCCTACTAACCTGTTTTGAAACAGTCTCATTGCTATTTCTTTCTCAATAAAATTTAAAAAGGGGGAAATGAAAAAGAAATCACAATATTTAAGATGTATACTTGATCAATTAACAATATACAATTCAATGATGAAATCCTGGGAACTCCTCTTCATAACTGAATAATAATAGTTTATCTGGGACCTAAAAATTACTAAATCAAACTTTTAACATTTAGGGAATGTACATAACAAATAATCTCTTATAAGCAGACTTTACACAGCATATAAGTTTTGATAATAGCAATACTAACACCACATCCCTAGCCAAACTAGAGAGAAATCCTCCCTGGGTTTTCTTTCCAGTGATTCAAAAAAGAAGATCAGCATAATCACAGTTAAGTAATCTCTAAATCTATCAAACAATATTTCTTTCAAAAAGTTATTAGAAGAACATCACTTGTCTGCTAGATTAGTATTCACGGGACAATCACAATCAGCTTCCAAGGAGAAGAGCTGAGCAGAGAACAAAATGGTTACACTTACATGTCGCTTGAAATCACCTAGTTTTACTACTAGGTTCAAATTTAACACTATCACTCCCATGTCATCTTCCAAACTGTTTGGATCTTCCAATTTTAAAATACGTTCAGTTGTTCTGTATAAAAAAAAAAGGCAGCAAATAATTTTAGTACTTCACAGTAGTATGTGGTCTTATAGTGCTTGAAGAGTTAGTTTGTGCTACAAGTCTCTTTCAGGATCAGGGTGAGACACAATGCTGAAAAGGTAGCAAATTCAGTGAAAATGAACCAACTCCATTCAGAGCAGAGAAACAGGGACTCTTTAATTCAACAGTTGGTTAACCCATCTGCCTCCCCTACTAGCCAAATAAAATTTCAGTATTTGTGTTATGTTTGGGTCATGAACCTGAACACTAGCAAACAAAAACACAAAAGTCAGTACACATTTTAGAAAACATTATCAAAGACAATGTGTGAATAATACATTTCACAACTAAAGACCAAAAGTCTCAAATACATTCAGTTAGAGTGACACTTGAAAGTACTCTCTCATTCATTCAGGTTTTGTTCAAATTTGGTTTCAAGAAAAATTAATTAATAATTTCCTGAGATCTCCCTCAAATCCATTAATAGCAACTGAAAGGTAAAAATACAATACCTGTTCAGCTCAAGGTCACTGAGAACAATAAATGCAGACCCCATGAAGTCAGACGTGGTCAAATCTCGATCGTACACCTACAACGAGTGCAGAGGTCAGTTACATCCAGGAATACAGTAAATCCAACATATTTATCGAATTATTAACACATACAAAGGTGTGGAGATTTTCAGAACCTTATAATACTTTGCAGAATACAGTTAAAGAGAAATTCAGCCAGGCCTACACAGACAACAGAATCATCCGATCATCTGACATATTTTGTGCCAAAACAATAGCAGAAAATACTTATAAGGCAGGACTCTTCTGAGCTAAAACATTATGCACAATGGACCACTTTCTGTGGTTTAAATGGTCTCTCATTAAACTTTAGTATTTTTCCACGGCGAGCAGATCTGCCAATTAAATAGAAATTTGTTAAATATTCTACAGCAATCTCATTCTGCACTCAACTCATGCAGTTTGCACCCAGATGTTAGAGCAATTGATGCTTACACCAGGAGCTTGAAGCTCTATTAAGTATAAAGTTATTCCTAATGAGAAAAGCTTCGGTACATGTCGGCACTGCACCACCGGTAATAATTCTTTCACATTCAGTACGTTTAAATACAGTCAGCAGAAATCTTTTCATTCTTATTTTTCTACAGAGCAGATATTGCATTGGCTTGAGACATCCAAGTTCAGCTGTGCTCCACGCAACGAAAAATTTCTTCTATGCTATTAATATTGATGACTGAGTCCTTGCAAACAACAAAAGGACTAATTGTGGCAAGTGCATTTTTTAAGAGAGCAGGAGAGAAGCTGAGGAAAAGTAAATAATTATCATAGAAAAGCAGAGTTTAAGTCTATCTGTGATTACCTTCACACGCAGCTTCTGATCAAGGCTTTGTATTGGCAACACTACTATCTCATCCCAAACGGGGTTTAAGTTCTTATATATGACTTTACTTTTGTACAGTGTCTTCCCATTCAGCTTGAATTTCACATAGGGATCGCTCGTGCCTTTGAAAGAAAACAAGAACAAGTCAGAGTTTTCAACTCCACGTAAAGCCCGTGTTCCCCATTAAGTAAGCATCGCCTCGATGTTCCTGGGCTCAGAGCAAGGCCCTGAGCCCTGTCGAAATAAACGTCTCACTGTGCAGAGATCGAAGGCCCCAGGAGTAGAGGAGAGAGAGAAATGAAAGAATTTGGGGGTAGATGTCTAATTCCCTTTTGCCTTCAGTAGTAGAATATAAATGGGCTCTTCCAGCTTTTTTCTATTTGGTGGCATTGTGGTTATGTCACCTCTCTGCTACCAGGAAAATTCAAGAAATCACATCAATGTCAGGAGTCCTGCGGAGCAGCCCACCCCTTCCAGGGACAGCAGAGTCCATGAAAAGAGAAAGAAACCATTTTTAGACTTTCAGCCAGATGGCGGATCCAACAGAACCCTCCGCTTTAAAATATAATGATAATAAATAAATCCATCTCCAGAGCCACCAGCTCAAAAGATGAGGCAAGGGGCTTCAGATGCGAACTGGGGGGCGTAGAGATTAAATTGACAGAGTCACTGTTCTCTGTCGCCCATGCACCTGCAGGAAGGCCGTACACATTGTTTCATGGGGGGCAGCTGAAGGCCACCTCCACCAGGACTTTAGCTGCTGTCTGGCCTCAGCCCTGACACCAGCAGCCTGCTGGGATCCTCCTGGGGAGCTTGGGAATGGACGCCAACAGGACTGAATGATCCAACAGGACCATGCCCAAAGTGAAGAGAAGCGACCATGGCAGATCCTCCTCCCCATTTTTCAGATCAGCTGTGACTCCTCTCTGCCCCTCCAAAAGATCCCTCCAAACAAAGTGCATTCATTATAAATTCAGCCCGGGTGGTACATGCGTGCGTGTGTAGCGTCTGACAGTGCCAGGGATGCACACTTGCTCATTAGTACCTGGAAATACAGAATAAAAAGGCCCATATAAATGAGCCATCTAGGAGGGGGTAAACGAAGGCTGCTTGGTAATGCTGCAAAAATAATTCAATTCGGGGAGTGATGTCATAGTTCACTGTGAAACAGAGCGATGACTGGGCAACAAAGCCTAACAGTCTGTCTTGTTTATTTATCCACCCCCAAATGCCACAGACAGTGCCCAAGATAGGCTCTCAGATGCTCATGAAAATGAGTTTCTGATATTAAAAGCACCCAAGAATGTTATTTTTTAATTTTAAAATTATATGATGCTAATCAGGACTAATTTTTAGTAGTACAGGTTTGCCATACACGCACTGTGATCACCTTCGTCATGGGGAGTTGGAGCACGTCTGTGTTCATTCTTTTAATTTCCCTTTTACCTCTTCTCCCCACCCCACGCTCCATCTTCAGATCCATTCCCTATTTACAAAAGATCGACCTCCCTGATTCCAGTTGTCAATCTGTTATCAAAAATCAATTAGGGTATTCTGCCACAAACATTATCAAACCCTTGATATCCATTATGCATTACTTAGATCATTTTCCCCAAATCTTTTCTTAGGTCTCTAGTAAGCTCTAGGATTAAAACTTTAAAAAATCACTGAAAATGAATGCAATTGATTTTCTAGTTATTTGAACTGAAAATAACATCAGTATAGAGCAAGAAGATGTACATTCTTAAAAGCATCTTCATGGGCTCAGTAGGGCATAATTTCGATGATTTAGAATGACAGCATTGCAAAGGTACTGGTTTTACACAAAAGATTAAATAAATTAAAGATGGACACACATCCATCCACAATCCTCACATTTTAATGTGGGCAGCAGAGGAATAGAAGCCTCACACTGGTGGAACAAAGACACACACCCCGCCCGCGTCACACAGTGCTTCTAGAGAGGACAGTAAAATTGAAAACATCCACAGCCATCCGGTGAATTCTCAGTAGTGAGCTAGCAATCTGCCTACCCTCCTCCCCTCACCAGTACGAGACAGAACACCTCTGGCTAGTCAGACTTTAACAACTGTTCTGATATATATATATAAAAAAGTGGGGGGAAGCTATAATAAAAAGAGGCCTTTAATTAAATGAAATTGCCACTCTGGGATCAGGCCTTCATGCTTGTCAGCGTACTCTCAAAATAAACATCTCAGAACTCAGCCTCAGCGGTGTCACTTTCTCCCAGGCAAGGCATACTGGGTAATCCCCAGGCATCTTGACAGCTACATAATGTTCAACCTGTTTCACGGGTGAATGGCGGCAGTGGCGTGAAAGAAAATATTAATGTCTGGAATTAACAGGGAAAAAAGGACCAGAGTTTACAAAGCCAAACAAGGAAAAGAGAGTGTCAAGTTAGTGTGGCGTTAATTGTTAGGGAAAATTTGAGAAAGGGAGGGAATAAATTGTGCTTCTCTGTCTGTGCCTAAGTGCCTGACTGTCAGGGAAGTGACATCTCAACTAGGCAGGTTCTGAAAGGGGGTCTGCAGCTCAGGAAAACCAGTCCCAGATTATTCAAATGATGAGCTGACACCTGAATGGCTGGACTTTAACCTTGCTGGCTGACAGCTTGGTACACAATGAGCCTCTTGTCCCAGTGGCTGAAAAAGAAGGAAGCCAAGTGCCTGGAGACGGGGTCTCAACACTGGGGCTGCCCCCAGTTCTGCCACAGGGACCTGAAGGAGTCACACAACCAGCAACCTAGAAATCAAGGTGTTAAGACATGGCGGCCTGACTATCTCGCCCCTCTGATCACACCACAGCCTTCCGCACACGTCGTTCTGCACTGCAGATTCAACCAGCCACAGGTGGAAAAATACGGGTAAATGTCCATCACTGAACAAGCTCAAGTCTTTGTCCCTGTCATTATTCCCTAAACAATATGGTATAATGGCTATTTCTATAGCACCTACACCGCGTTCACTATTGCAAATAATCTAGTAAGGATTTAAAGTGTGTAAGAGGATACAGAGGGGTTACATGCTGTGGTATGTAAGAGACTTGAGCATCTATTGATTTTGGTGTGTGAACCAGTCTTGAAGCAGGCCCCTATAAGCATTAATGGATTAATAGATGTGCCCACAGGAACTAAAACACAGGACTTGGTGCTTCAAATTCCTGCCCCAATCCTCATCCTAACAACCAGCATGAAACTTCTTGTTCCTGCTCATGCCATGGGCAGTACAGCCAGTCATATCTCCCTTGACACCGTACCTGCCAGGCCTGCCAATACCCTACGAACACTCCTTGGTCACTTCCAACCCATGCTCTGTGTGAGGCATGCTGGGATTGCCAATTTGCTCCAATCCCAGCTCAGGATATTGTGCATCCGCTAGAAGCAGGCATCCCATAATACAGCACCAGGTCCCAGAGCAAAGTGTCCCAGCAGATTTGAACAAGTTAAGGGAGTAGGAAGTCTTAGAATCGGGGAAGATTAAATCCTAGTTTCGGTATTAGTGGGTACTGAAATAAAAGACGGGAGTTAAAGCACAGTCTTATATGCCCAGCACTCTGGGAGGCTGAGGAAGGAGGAGCACAGACTCAAGGCCATCCTGTGCAACTCAGGGGGACCCTGTCTCAACATAAAAAATAAAAAGGGGTGGGGATGGAGCTCATTAAGAAGGCCACAGGTTCAATCTCCATTTCAAAAAACAATAAGGGAGTTGGGATAAAGCCAGGTCTAATGTCAATGTCACCCCAGAAGGAGTCACTGGTGCCAAGAGGGAGGTAAGGAGGCAGTGAACAGAGGAGGCCCCGCCAGGAAGTACGCCAAGGCATCCAGACTTAGGGAGAAAACTAGGACCAAACGTAACATTAAGCAGGTAGGCTTCCATCAGGGTGGTAGTGACGTGACCCAATGCAATAAGGAGATTATTTATTATTCTGCAAAACCCATAGGTGTTTTATTTCCTGTTCCCCTACTTTTTTTCTTTTTAAACAAGTTAATACACACACACAATTCTGAAAGGTATGGCATAAATAGTAAAGCTTATAACCTCTTACTCTTCCCCAAGTCCCATCTGCGTAAGTTAGTACTCAGCATAAACTAACTTTTATTGAGTGTTTTAGGAGGAAAAAAAATACAAGAACCATTTTAAAGGGATTTAACACTTTTACAAATAATGGTCATTGAAACGCTCTTTACACAATAATATAGATCCACTGTTTTCAATGAAATTGTCATTGGGTGCTATCAATGTTTTTAACTGGTTACTAGTCATTTTACTAATAGAAACAATAATGCGAAAAGCATTCTCGCATAACTACCTCGGAGTTCACAAGCAATTACAATCAGAGGATATTTCTCAGCACTGCAATTACTTTGCAAATGAATATGTGAAGCCTTCAATTCTGAGTGACCCAGTCATATTTTTTATGAGCAAAATATATTTATTGGGGGAAAGAAAGCTCCTATCCGAGAGAGGCACAGGAGGGGCCCCAAGCGGGTAGTCCCCTGACCCAGTCATATTGTTTTCTAACATTTATCAAATTTATGCTTCCTCCAAAAGTACTATTACGTGTTTGTTCACATACCCACAGAGGTGGATAGAGTAAATATTTGGTTGAGACCAATCATGGGTGAAAACTGCTCTCTGCATTTGTGGTTCTGCTGCAACTTTCTCCTCAACTTTTGCGCCCCATGGCCTGCGTTTGTGCTTTTCTGCCAGAGAAATCTTCATCCGTACTGTTTGGCTGTTTCTCAGTGGGCTGATGGTTTATCTCAGGCTCTCAGATTTGTCTTTTTTTTTTTTTTTTTTTTTTTGGTGGAACTGGGGATTGAACTCAGTCCTTTGCACTTGCCAGGGAAGCACTTATTCCACTGAGCCATCTCCCCGGCCCAGTGTACAGGCTCTCAGATTTGAATGCACCTTTCATTATGGAAATCAGCCACTAACAATAAACCTTGTCATAATTTGTTTAAACTTATGTTGCTTCTGGTAATACGTTATTCTCATTTTTATTTCTTCAAACTTACCAAAATTTTGTTCACAGCCTCTTAGTTTAACATCTTTCTTAGAAGAAATTCTTTTTTTCACTATAGGAGGTAAATTAATTTAAC